GCTAGCATAAAACTATTTTACTTTCAACCCCCTCCCCCCCTCCAAAAAAAAAAAAATCTAATTTTGCACTTGCAAATGCAATCTCTTTCATTTTGTCACGTTTGGCAGAAGCAAATTTCTTTCCCAAGAACTTCTCAACTGAACAATTTCCAATTTTTCATACTCACGTATTAGAAAATATAATAAGTACAACATCCCTCCAATTTTGCATTATGTTACCAAACATTTCGATAAAATCCCAAAAAGAAAAGGAAAATATAAGTCCTAAAAATCAATCAAATATACAACAAGTCCTTCTTTCCAACACCCCAAATTCTATTTTTTTCTCACACATTTTCCCTCCCACCAAAAACACCAAATCCCCAACTAAATTTTCAAAAAAAAAATCCCATTTTCACACATGCACAACACATTTCCTTCAACCAGAAACACCATAATCTCAATTAAACTTTCCCAAAAAAGGAAAAACATATTCACACATAAAAGCATGCAAAAGAAAACAGAAAGGAAAAAAATCAAATCTTTTTATCAATCCTTACCAATTGCGACCGAGGACTTCATCAGCACGAAACCCAGTGGAGAGTTCAAAGACTGTATTCACATAAATGATGGGGAAATCGGGTTCCAACGCATCAGAAACAACGATCGCAGACGGCGTCGTAATGGGATAGAAGAACTTTTCACCTGCAGGGACATAAATCTCACCATCTTCACTACCACTTTCCTCTTCTTCCTCTTCCTCTTCATATTGGAATTTTTCTCGTTGATACCCTCTTTTCTTTGGCTCACCCCCAGTGCATTTTAGCCTTTTCCCACCTCCCCTTCTCCTGAACTCCTCTTCCTCTTCTTGACCTTTCTCCATTCCCATCTCTCTGATTCGATGAATTTCTCTCTCTTTTTTTTTTTTTTTACCTGACTGAAGATTTTGTATATGGTACTCTCAACTCTGTACCTTGTGCGGTTTTTTCTTTTTTTTTTTCTGAGTGGAGATTTTGTAAATGTACCCTGTATTGCGTGTCGGGTGTGCAACTTGATATGTTGGAGAGTAGGGAATGAGAATGGACAAATTAGAGCAACGAATTACAATAAAACCTGTGCCACTTGGGCTTAGTATTTATCAAATTGAGATTCTTCAAAATTCACTTGATGGAAATACTTGCACTCTTTTGACAAAAAAAATAATTGCACTCAAATTTGATTTATTTTTTAAACTTTTTTATCGAATAAAATTGAATTGAGCTCAAATAAATTTCAAATTTATGCCTACAAAGTCAAGTTATCAGATAAAATTGAATCAAGCTCGAGTAAATTTAAAAAATTATTCATATGGAGCCGAGTTTAATCTGAGGCTAAAAAGTTAGCGAATTTCAAAATTTATTTTGTTTGAATTCATTAATTGGTAAATCAAACTCAAACTAATTCTTATCAAGTTGATTAGGATAACCCTATTTTATTTCCCATTATAGAATCACCTTCGTCCAAGATAAATATATTTTGTTTCGTATTATGAATGCATCTTCTTCTATTCGTCTACTTTCATTTCACAATTCATACCACCTCTATTTTCAATCATGGTCTATGCATTGGTATTGCAAATTTTGATTTTTTATTATTAATTTTGAGGTTAGTAGCTTGACACCATATGGCACGGTAAGTTCAACTAACATATGGTTGCTTAATGTTCAGATAAACGATTCACGTGTGTTTGGATAGGAGATTATTTGTCAAATTTTATTTGTTTATATCATCATTACAATTTTCAATACACCTTTTTATTTTTTCAATTACCTTTTTATCTCACATACATCACATCACAAAAAGTGCTACAGTAAAAATATCTCAAATAATTTATAATCCAAACACCATATTCACACAATAGAGTTTCTGAGATCATCTATACCAATGAGTTCTGAATGGCCTCCTCTCACAGTTGAAAAGTGATTTAATTATCTCGAATAAATTTATACGTCGAGCTGCAAAATGTATCTCAATTGTAGCCAAATCCTTTTTTTCTTTTCTTATTGAAAATCAATTCTATCAAAATTGTTCAAGAAACGTTAAGCAAGTGACACATTGAGTCGAGAGAGAGGTGGGTTGAGTGGTTTAGAGGGAAAGAATGTAAGTCCAAGATCCCAAATTCATGTCCTCCCACTTACACTAAAAAAAAAAAACTTAAAAAAAATGTGACACATTGGGCTATAGGTCATGACAAAGGTATCCCTTAATGAATTAGTAACAAAAGATCCAACAATCTAGTTTAGCACACACCTTTTTTTTTTTTTTTTTGGAGAGATGCCATGTAAAGCTAGTGGATTAAATAGAGCTAAAAAGAGCTCAAGCAAATTATTGCAAATAGGCAACCAACCTGTTGTAGCTAAGTTGGCCACCAGATGAAATATAAGGTGCGATTCTGACTGTATGTCAAGAATTCAAACCTCTCCACTTGCATTAAAATTTAAAGAGTGTACAGTAGTACACCCTTTTAATTTAGAGGCGAGAATCACTCTCTCTAACTCTCCTTGATCCAATTGGACCCTCTCTTAAATAGGCTAAAGCAGGAGCGGGAGCAAAAGTAGAAATAGGAGTAGTGTAAGAGTTGATGATTGATAGAATAAAAAAATTATTGCATATACATTTGATGGGTGATAAAACAGATAAAAGGGTAGCATATGAACTCCAAAAGCTGTTAGCATAAAAGTTGTGGCCGGTAGGCTCGAATTTTATTTATTTGTCCCATCATTTTATAAATTTATTAAGTAGGGTACTTACTTTGGTTTGGTGGGGGATTAGAGTGCGTCATCTTCAAAGGTCAGAAGTACAGTAGTAGTATTTTTATTTAGAAGCATAGGATGGGAATGATCATTCGCCGCCCAAGGATAAAAGTATGTTTAGACGAAGCATTGAAGTAATGCTATGATAGCGATTGCTGCTTGTCATGCGGGGTTTGTCAGCCGTACTATAAACCTTGGAAGTGACTTGTGGGGTTTGTGCATTAGACAATATGAAAATGACTTGGATAAGAAATTTTCTTATGGTCTACAGTAGAGGCGGTCTACAATATGAAAATACATTTGATAATTTTTTCCCCTAAGATTAGTTAATCATTTCACAAACTTTCATCACGTGATTTCCTTAATTACCCTCTTGTGATTTATGATAATGACCCCAAACAAAGCCAGTGGCACTGTCATGGTTACGGAGAACTTTAGGGGCAAAGAAGAATGGAATATGTCCACATAGGTGGGGTGGGCAACACATGTTTACAGGATATTTTCTAGGAAAAAATATCTGGACCTAATCTGCCACCAGATGTCTTCCACGTCATCAACTGGTTTAGTTAGATATTTTGGCGCCGGAATGGGGCAAGAATCCCCGAGCGTTGAGCTATCTGTTTCTGCGGACACTTGAGAGGATTGAATTGGCTTTAGATTTGCCTTGGCGCACTTTGAAATATGCCAAAATTGGTCCGTCACTTTTAATTACTCGTGAAAGATTTTTATTTTTTTTCCAGGAAAGCAAAATTGTAGGATATTTTTATGTTTGGATCAAGACTATACATGATTTGAGATGGCTCATGATCGCTGGTGAATTGACATGGTCGTTGCACGATTCGAGCTTGATCACTATTAAGTTTTGAGTAGGTTTTGAATTGATTTAGTGAGTTACTTTTGGTTCGTTAAGCTTACTTATTCTTATATTTTTTATAATATTTTATTAGTATTGAAATTATATGTACATCCCTCGTTTCGTTAATATATAAAGAGTAAAATTTCTGATTTATTCATTTTAAAAAAATACTTAGAAATATTTTTATTCTGATTTGAGCTTGATTTGGCTTTAACTTGAGCTCAACTTATATTTGAACTTGAATTCGAGACTAGTGAAAATTGAGTCAAGTTTGGTTAGTTTAGCACAACATCCGACTCGATTCTGCTCAACTTATTTGTAGCCTTATTTCGAATTGAAAAATATTTGGGGAAACATTGTAAACGCAATGCTGGAACAGTTTTTTTAATGTGATATATGTGAGATAAAAAGATATTTAAAAAACTAAAATGATGATTCAAAAATATATTTATGATGCAATAAAAAAAATTTCAAAAAATGAGCTCTCCAGAGAAGCCGAAACTTGTTTTATTATTTAAAAAAAAAGAAACTTTGAACTCTGCTAAAACTTTGAAACTAGATTATAAATAATTGATGTAATTTTATATTTGGTGCATCATTCCAATCTTTGACTTGATATGGAATGCACAGGGTGTATTATTGCAATATAAGATAATTTAATAATCTAAAAAAGAAATTGAAAATCATAAGCATAATAAAAGGAGAAAGCAAAGTTTTTAGTTATTTCATAAGCAAAGTTATAGAAACCCTAATCAACTCTCATGAAGATAAATGTTAACTTCAAACCCCTTCCACAGGCTTTATATACAGTATAGATTTATTTGTTAATTGGGATATAGGTAATTTGCCTTTATGTTACTTTTTTCTCTCTTGTAAGCTCCCGATTGGATTGCAATTTTTTTTGGAGTTTTTATAATAAAATATACTGTAGTGACGTGACATGTGCGAGATAAACAGATGATTAAAAAATGTGTCGGGAAATATTCTAAAATTTTTTCTATGACAACTTACCACCCAAAATATTAGCAATTTTTAAGGTTTATGAGCTTAGCTTTTCTCATGAGGTGTCACTAAAAATTACATAGGTGTATCGAAAAGCAGAAATCTTCCTTTAGATGATAAGTTGCAGGTGGCTCATAAAATTTACCATGATTTGCACATTTTGCAAGATGAAGGTTTGAGAGTCAAATCACGGACCTAACACGTGACTTAAGTCTCTAATTGCTAAGTTGGATCTTGCAAAAATTTTTGGTTAACCATAAATTGTGTCCATACTTCCTTAATGTTTTCCCTCACACTTTATCATACTGTTCTAAAGCAATGGACGTGGATAGAGCAAGTTGTAATTCAACCAAACAGCACTCTGCATCTTATGCACAAGTCTGATCCTTGGCTTCAAATAAATAAGCCATATCCACTGTGTAGACTCAATACTATTGCACATTTTTCTTGGAGAAGAACCCAACAAAAGAAAAAAGAAAAAAGAAAAAAAAAGCACAGAGTGAATGGAAGAAAAAGATACTGAAGTTGAAATAAATTAACAAGTTGATAGATATATGCTTTCTTGCATTATAATCAATTTGATTGGAGGCGGCTCTTGAAGATTTCCCATGTCAAACCTTTCTCAATGTACTCTATATTGGAGGGTTCAAAGGGCCCTTTAACTCTATCTATGAACTTAATCTCTGCTCTTGCAGGAAGAACACTTCTTGAAGGATCTGGTGAAGTCCCATAGCTCAAACATGATGAGAATCCCTGTCAATGATGGAAAATCAGGTAAAGACTTCATTACAATAATGTACTCTTGCGAAGAAAAATCACCTGCTCTTACCAAAACTGAAACCAAGGTCATGATTTGAATAAAATTTTTCACCTTGAAGATAAGGACTTCAACCTCCTCTTCATCAACCATTGCTTTCACAAGAAGAGCTTCATTTCTTGCAGATTGAGTATATGTCTCCAGCATCGCTATCTCTGCATTATAACCATATTCTTCATCCTCTTCTTCATCTTCATATACAGCTCTCCTTCTTGCACTACATTTTGAATCCAAATTCCACCTCTTATCTAATTTTGATCCCTTAATGAAGGAAGAGATGTTCAAAGTTTTGTTGAAGGTTGAATTGCTATCAGTAGAAAAATGAGGTAAGAAGCAAGGGGATGAAGAAAGTGAAGTCCATTTAACAAACTGCTTCAACATAGGAGATAGCCTAACGATACAATAAATGAAAGGATAATGCTATGTAACGAATTCTTGGCCCAAGTTAAAATGACTCTATTCAAAGTTTTTTTTATTATAATTTTTTTTTTAAAAAAATAATTCCTCTGTCTTTTTATTTGTAGTCCCTTTCTTTCCTTTTCGATGTGGTCGGGCAAAGATAAGGTTGAAAATTGAAATATCTTTCCATTTCTGTGTAGACGTGTAAAGAGAAATCTAAGTGGGCCGTGACTCATTTACGTTGTACAGCTCATCCTAGGGCAAACTGCCGAAGCAATTTCTCATACCTGTCCTTATCGTGAGTCATCCTCCTTGTCTTTTCTTCGGTACGAACCTCGTTCCCTGTGTCTAGAAAAATAAAATAATAATTGTGTTTGAATTACTAAATTATCTAAAATAATATTTCGTTTGTATTATAAATATATTTTTTAAATATTTTTTAATTACTTTTTATATCACATATATCACATCATAAAAAGTATTACAGTAATTATTTCAAATAATACTTTATACAAACATATTCAAAACCTCATTCCCCTCTTTCTTTCTTCTTTTCCAAATCATGTCTTTAAATTAGCCACAAATCCTCACTTTCCTGTCCAAATCACCCCCAAGACTCACACCTTCTAGAGGGGTGACAAACGAACTGAACTGTTTGCGAATAGCTGAATCAAAGTTTGAGTCGCACTCGAATTACTTGAGTCTTAAATATTTAGCCATTCCGCTTAAAAATTTGTCAAGTTCATATATACATACACATACATATATATATGTTTTAAATACATAAATTAATTATTAAATTATCTAAAATTTTATATTTTTAAAACAAATTACATATCTTAGCAATTGAATTCGGGTAGTTCGAATTCGAACTTGATCTCAATTTGTTTCTTGAACGGGTTTGAAGTTTGAACTTGATTCAATCACCTTATTTTTTACACTAGCCTAGCTCGAATTTGGATATCAAAAGTTCATCGAGCTCAAGCCCCTCAGATGTTACACTTCAAACTCGGGGTACAATCGATGTTCGATTTGGTTCCCTCGCATCTCTAATTTCCATTTTCCAAGTCTCCCTTCCCACATCCCCTCAAGGACAATCAAGTCATTTCACCACCCGCAATCAGCTCCACGCCGTTATTCTGCACTACTTGCACACTCGCATTCTAAATTAATACTCCACTGTCAAAAGCTTCCTTCCAACTTCTGAGACCAATTTCTTTTGGCGCAATAAATTTTCCATTTTGTCACTTCATTCCTCTATGGCGACTGCTTGCAAGGAGGCCTTGCCTGTGCCGCTGCCGTTTCCGGCGGGGTTAAAGGTGTTGGTGGTAGATGATGACTTAACCTGCTTGAAAATTCTTGAACAAATGCTTACCAGGTGCATGTACAGGGGTCGGTATTGATTTTTCAAAATCTCTGTTTTTTCCCTGTATTCTGAGTTCTTTTACCAGTATATTAGTTTTCTCCCAGTCTGGAAAATTGATATAGTAAAAGTGAAAAAAATTGAGAATGGATGTGTTTTAGTCATTTTTCAGTCCTATTTATCATGGAAATTTGTCACACTATTCACGTTCTTTAATAATTTCCCAATGCATTTGGTAAAAAACAAGAACTTGGGTTCATGAGCCAATCTTTTTACCAAACAAAAATTTTGCGTTTGTTAATTATTCACATGTTCTATGTCACTATATCTAAATAATTGGTTTAAGATTATATTTTTGTGAAAGTTCCTGCATCAATGTCTTTGATCGATGGTGAATCGCCACTGTTTGTTTTCTGACCCGAATGCTTAGTTTAATGCTATGTCTTTTTTTTTTTTTTTTTTTGATTTGATGATCTGGAGTTGCTTGCAGTTACCACTTGTTCCCAGGCTACTGTTGCCTTGAATCTCTTAAGGGAAAAGAAAGGATTTTTTGATATTGTACTAAGTGATGTCCATGTGCCCGATATGGATGGCTTTAAACTTCTTGAGCTTGTTAGTTTGGAAATGAACCTGCCGGTCATAAGTAAGTGATGTTTGTCTTCTCTGGCTTACATGCTGAAAAAATGCTTTGTTAATAATATGTTCTGGTCTGCAGTGATGTCTGTAGATGACAGAACAAGTATCGTTATGAAGGGAATCACGCACGGGGCTTGTGATTATCTGATTAAACCTATACGCTTTGAAGAGTTAAAGAATATCTGGCAGCATGTAGTTTGGAAGAGATGCAATAAGGGAAAAGAGAATGAGCATTTGGATACCATGGAAGATTATGATCATCGCAAACGGGGAAGTGATGAGGCTAAGTATGCTTATTCTTTTGGTAATAAAGGAGCAGATGGAGAACCAGAAACATCCACAAAAAAGAGAAAAGATGCTAAACAAAAAGATGATACTGAAATAGGAAAAGATGACCTTATTACTTCAAAGAAGACGCCTGTAATCTGGTCGATTGAGCTTCATCAACAATTTGTTAGTGCTGTGAACCACCTGGGAATTGATAGTATGAACTTTTGTTTTTTAGCTTTTGCAACGCATCAGTATGCTTTTGTAATTCTGGTCTAAGTTTTCTTCTTAAACCTGTTTTTAGATTCTAAATAGACAGCTGTCTATTACTTCTATGTTTGCTGCTCTTTTTAAAGTCTCCGTTTCTTGCTTAACTTTAGGTTTCCTTTTACAGAGGCTACACCAAAGAAGATTATGGAATTGATGAATGTGCCAGGTTTAACCAGAGAAAACGTGGCAAACCATTTGCAGGTTAGATTCTGCGATGAAATCTTCATTTACCCCCATTAACTGATTGTAACTGACACATGGCAGGCCCTTGGTCGCTACTTCTTTCCATATAGTTACCTCCCCTATTCCTTTTGCTGTTTTTCTGTGTGCACTTGATTTGAAATGTTTGCTTAAGCTCATAAAAAGTCATATTCTTTCTTTCTACTAAAATGCTGGGATACTAGGCATGCTATTGGTATGTTATTGCTTCTTTCTTTCTTGCTTGTTGTATGTTATTGTCTAATTGCTGGTGGAATGTGTGCGGGCTTGCCATTGCAGTCATCATCTGCAACTTTTCTGTGGGCACTTGGATTGTAAGTCGTATGCTATTAGTAGAGTCTGTCATGTCATCTTCAGTGTCCACAAACGGATAGAATTTTGTTTTCAATTGATGTGTTTCTTTTAATTGCCTTTAGCATTCCAGATACGTATATATTAGTTTTTGGTGATTACTGTTCTGCAGAAATATAGACTATATTTGAGGAGACTAAGTGCAGTAGTCCAAAAGAAGGGCGGCCTTCCCAGTTCTTTTTGTGGTGGGATTGATGAGCCAAATCCAAAAGTAGGTTCAGCAGGAAGGTTTGATGTCCAAGCATTGGCTGCTTGTGGTCATATTCCACAACAAACTTTGGCAGCATTTCATCCTGAGCTTGGTCAGAATGTTGTGTACACCCAACCATCAATACAATTCCCATCCAACATACCCAAGCATATTTCGCAGACTGTTGCTGCTGACAATCCCATTTCTGGACTTGATCCCTGGTCTTCAAAAAACCTTGATAAGATGGTTGCTGGTGATAATGTTACTGGTTTACGTTCTCAAAATGGTACTTCAATGATGAGCACGACGCAACTTCAACAACAGAGACAGCAGCAGGAACCTCAACAGAATTTATCTATTCTTCCAAAGCCTAATTATTCAATCACTGTACAGCCTTCTCATCTTGTTGTTCCAGCTCATTCTTCCCCCAGCTTCCAAGTGGTAAATAGCCTGGTTTCTGCTAATCAAAATTGCAGCCCTGGTAGGAGTTCCATCATAAATTACAACATCGTCTCGCCTCAGTCAAATATTCCTGCTACGGGGATTGGGAGAACAGCAGATGCTCAACTTAAATCCACAACCGTGCTTGGCGGGTCATCAGCTGCAGGTTCTCCAGCTTTGTCTGCCTGTTCAGTAGACGCAAATAATGGTGTTGCCGTGCAAGTTCCCAGCTCAGCTTTAACATTTGGTCCATCCAGAAAGTTGCCAGTCCATGTTCCTTATATTCCCGTGTTGCAGAATTCTCCTGGAATGCCTAAAAACACTGACTTGGGTGGTGGATGGACATCGATTCTTAATCGTTTTACTGTGGATGAAATTGGTTTGCCAGTTAGCAATGTAAATCAAGAAATGATGCATGGAGAGAACAATTGCAACGATTGCTTTCAAAAGAAGAGCTTCCTATCTTGGAGAAAGAGCACATGCCTCCATCATTGCTACATCTGCATATTTTTTGTTGTCCTCTTCTTCATCTTCATTTTTGGCTCTCCTTCTGGCACTACATTTTGAACCCAAAACGCTGTTCTTGTCTACTTTTGACTCCTTTATAAGATAGATATGCTGGCAAGTATTTTTAGACATTTAGTTACTTTCAAACTGCTTTAGTATCAGAATTAAGAAATATCCAATGTAAGGACATTACTATTTTGTGAGTTTTTGGCTTGAGGACAATCGTATAAATTGTGATGTATTATTAACTATTTGTATAAAATCGTATCAGAAACTCAATTATTATGTATAATTTTTATACAAACAGTGACTGAATATAGCATCAACTTAGTTCAAATATTGGTTACACATTTCCAAGTAAGACAGGGTTTTTTTTTTTCTTTTTTTTGGGAACATCAAGTTAGATTGGGTTGACATATATTTCAACCTCCAAAGTCCATGTAGACCACTAAAGTGTGAGTGGGACGTGGGTGCTTTTTGGACTGTTAGACCGACTAGTAAGTACAGCCGACCTCATTGTGGCCGAGTTGACAAAGGGTACAACTATATAATGGCATTGAAAATTTCCAAATTCTCAAGTTTTTCTTGAATAAGTACACATTTACTTTTTGTATTTAAGTGCTTTACACCTTCAAAAAAATAAAGGGTTATCTATTCTTTTAAAATAATTTATCTTTGTCCCAAGAGAATTGGATTATTTTTATCTTGCTAAACATTGAGTACATCAAACATTTTTAACCCTCTCTTTTTGGAGTAGAAATTGCAAAACATAGCTTTTGT